GCCAGCTTCCACAGCTGCGCTGCTTGCAGTGGCCAGGGTCTAACGAGCCTGTGGTGCTGCAAGGGGACAGCTTCCAACACTGCGCTGGTTGCCGTAAAGACCCTGTGCTGCTGCAAGTGGCAGCTATTCCAAGTTGACTACCCTTTGAAGTAAGCAATGCAGGGGTGAAATTTAGAGAAGGAAGTTATCATTCCAACTTCACTCACCCTTTTGTGGGCAATGCAGGGGTAAAATTTAGACAAGGAAGTGGCCATGCCAAGTTGACTCGCCCTTTTGTGGGCCATGCAAGGTAAAATTTAGAGAAGGACGTTGCCCTTCCAAGAGCGTACAATTTAGAGAAGGAAGTGGCCATTCCAAGCTGCCTCACCCTTTTGTGGGCAATGCAGGGGTAAAATTTAGAGAAGGAAGTGGCCATTCCAACTTGACTCACCCCTTTACCCAGGGTAGAGTTTAAAGAAGATCTTGCCATTCCAATTTGACTCACCCCTTTATGTGGGCAATGCAGGGGTAAATTTTAGAGAAGGAATTCGCCCTTCCAAGTTGGCTCACCCTTTGGTGAGCCACCCGCGGGTAAAGTTTCAGAAAACGAACAGAAGGATGTTGCCATTCCAAGCTGCCTCACCCTTTTGTGGGCGATGCAGGGGTGCAATTTAGAGGGTAAAAATTAGAGAAAGAAGTGGACATTCCAACTTGACTCACCCTTTTGTGGCTAATGCAGGGGTAAAAATTTGAAAAGGAAGTGGTCATTCCAACTTGACCCACCCTTTTGTGGGCAATGCAGGGGTAAAATTTAGAAGGAAGTGGCCATGCCAAGTTGACTCACCCTTTTGTGGGCCATGCAGGGGTTCAAGTTAGACAAGGATGTTGCCCTTCCAAGCTGCCTCACCCTTTTGTGGGCAATGCCGGGGTAAAATTTAGAGAAGGAAGTGGCCATTCCAACTTGGCTCGCCCTTTTGTGGCCATGCAGGGGTAAAACTTAGAGAAGGATGTTGCCCTTCCAAGTTGACCCACCCTTTGGTGAGCAACCCGAGGATAAAATTTAGAGAGGGAAGTGGCCGTTCCAAGTTGACCCACCCCTTTATGTGGGCAATGCAGGGGTAAAATTTAGAGAAGGAATTGGCCGTTCCAAGTTGGCTCACCCTTTGGTGAGCCACCCGCGGGTAAAGTTTACAGAAGGATGTTGCCATTCCAAGCTGCCTCACCCTTTTGTGGGCAATGCAGGGGTAAATTTTAGAGAAGGATGTTGCCCCAAGTTGACTTGGCTCACCCTTTGGTGAGCCACGCGCGGGTAAAGTTTACAGAAGGATGTTGCCATTCCAAGCTGCTTCACCCTTTTGTGGGCAACGCAGTGTAAATTTTAGAGAAGGATGTTGCCCCAAGTTGACTCACTCTTTCGTATCAAAATTCAATAAACTCCAGATGCAAGGGTGTTCCTTGTCCCCTACAAAAGCTTTCATTAGAATAGTGATGCTTCATTAGACTAGCAACTATATAAAGCTTTGGAAAGGTGATGTCGTTGCGCCATGCCGTTTTTGTGTGACCTTGGTGGAAAGTGCGTTTGCGTAGATATCCGTGCCATTGGGGGAAGGAAAGCCTGCTGGTGTAAACACGCCGTGTCATGGTGGATAGACAGGGTGGACAGAGGTGAGCAGTTGCGGTTGTTTTTGGAACTCAATTTAAAAAACTCCTCCAAAATCGGCCGTGTTGGTCGTTCAGTAGCGATTTGCAAGGGCGGCCATTTAAACACCAAGCGAGGTAACTTTTGCACGCCCCGGGGAGGACCTTTTCCGTGTAGGGGTACGATCTGCAAATAGGCGCGTTCCAGCGTAGCGCATTTGTCATGGGCTTCCCAACATTAAAGCTTAGAGGAAGAAGGATATGCCAAGATATTCCACCATAAAGTGCAGACGACAAGGAATACCTTTTGTGTGTTAGCCGAGGATAAACTGTATGTGGAAAGGCGAAGAACTCTTAAGAAATTATACTTTTTCTTTCCACTTTTTGCACTGCTCCTTCTCCTTCGTTTCGTTTTTCTTCTCTCTCTCTCTCTCCCTTTCTCTTCGTGCTACGTGAAATAGTTGAAGGTAGCGTACGTATATATTTGTTCAAAGCCCAGGAACCGGAAGAACACCTAAAGCACGCCTAAGGACAAGAAACCGAGCCTAAAGAAACCCGAAACCAGTGAAACCCACTGTTCCCTCCCTTTCTCTCCATCACGCTGGCTTTGGCGCTTCGTCCCCTACCCTTTCTGCTGCTCCTAGTGCTTGGAAAGCACTCCCAGCAGAAGCCAAAGCAAAAAAAAACCAAAACAAAAGCAGTAGGGGAAAAAAATGGAAAAAAATTCCCGGAAAAAATTTGAAAAAAATTCCCGGGAAAAATATCCACCCGGGATGAACTGTAGTAGAATCTGGAGAATTGCGCAGGAGTTCTTTCTTTCAAAAGTGGTTTTTGAATTTATTTGTAGAGAACATTTCACTTGGAGTACAATTGAATCATGAGGTCCCAAATCCCACAGACGTTCCTATTGTCCAGAACGCCGGAACCACTGCAGTTCCCGCACCCCAGGAGTACAATCGCTTTCTGATCACTTCATGGTACGACCTGCGGGGCAGCTCAGGGGTTTTGGCTTCGATTTCCTCATGAACGGTCGGGCGTTGGTGTCGGCCCATCACACCCGGCCCTGGTGTGTGGTGTCAATGAACCACCCAGAAAGTGGTTCTTGGGGTCTGGGTCTTTTGAACGATGACGTGCAGAGTTTGTTAGATTGGTTGACATATGTTGACATGTCTTTGGAACTTTGGAGGAAGAAATTGGTGTGTGTTTTAATAGGCAGGCAACCACCCAATGGGTTTTGGATTGGTTTTGGTCTATTTTCCTTCTTCCAGGGGGTCTTTGGGAGCTCCCTATTTAAATACACACCCAAATCTGAAAGCCACAGATTGGGACACTCAACCGGTCTTCCCTGCATGTTTGTTGTAAACTGGCAAGTGCTGCAATTCCATCACACGACCATTTTGCTTCCATTGGGGTTGCCTGGCAGCTTCAACACATCTGATGGACCAACTTGGACACTCAGCAGTGCATGTGGGCACTCTTGCATGAACACCATGGACCAAAGAAAGAACAACACATGAATCAAACAACCATCCCAGCTTCTCATTTTAGACCAAGTTTGGACCAATATGGATCCTAATTTAGACTGAACAAACATTTGTTTGTTTGCAGAACAGCTCTTTCAACAACGCGTGACTCCAACGACTGAAACCGGCGAGTAGGTGTGAAAGCCAAGACGTGTAACTGAAACATGGCTTTACTAGGTGACCCGGAATTTCCTGGACAAATCGTGGCACTGGACTTATTTTGCTTATACTGACAATCAACCACATCTCCTGGCCAAAACCAAAGGAAGCCACCAGAAAAACCATGTCAACAAGGGTAAACAGACCCACACAAGTGTGGACCCGGTGGGCCTTCCACACCGGACCCCAAACACCGCTTTGTGTATACCCTCGAGGTATGCCACCTTTTGGCATCTCATCAGCGGTGAGAATCCCAAAGGCACGGACGACGGGCCGGACTCGGCGGCGGCGCCGGAGAGCGGCAAAGGCACAAAGGAGTCCGTGGTTTGGGAGAAATGCTCATCGGTTTCAGATGATGAGTTGAGTGGTGAATGGAGGGTTTTCCTCCCAGGTGGCCCCGTTGACGGTCCGAAACAGAAGCACCGGATGTGGAACCTACGGATGTGCCGGTGACGTTCTCGATCGACCTCGTCCTCGATCGACGCCGGGCCGCTGGGGGCCGCATTTGGCACTTGGATTGGCGCTACATCTTTCTGTCTTGACATATGGGCCATATGGGTGTAACATGGGTGTGTACTTGATATATATATATATATTATAAATATATATATAATATATAATATATATAATATATAATATATATAATATATAATATATAATATATATAATATATATATTATATAATAATATAATATATATATTATATATATTATATATATTATATATTATATATATATACCTGGAGTCTCAAAGTACCTCGGAAAATGGGTACAAGTACCTGTTTTTTAGGGGTCATGTCCCATTTTCCAAGGTACTTTGGAGGGTCTAGGTATACATATGTATAATAGGGAGACCCTCTGTCTCGCGCCCCCGGCTGGGTAGACTGGCTGATTTTCCGAAGCTTCCAGCATCTTGCAGGTCGAACAGTCGTTGCCTGAACCGATCTCCCTATTGTTGCCCTGGGCACATCTGTGCGCTCTGCTCATCACCGGATCAACTTGCACTACACCCCAGGTATTCGCCCGTCAGACGGAGATCCCAGTTACCTCTTGTGGCCCAGGAGAGGCGCAAAATCGTTTCCAACCTGTCAGGGATGCCCGGGACGTGACGACGTGAGGTGACAGGGGTGAACGTGATGTGGACGAAACGTGTCAGGCGGGTTGATCTAATTTATATCTACTTCATTATCTTCATTCATGAATGTGCCTTCTATGGAGTCATGATGAGTTATGATGGGCAATGATGGGAAGTGGGTTTTTGCATTTGGGGCCCTTACAGCTACACTGAGTCAAAGAGACATACAGAAGCTATCCCAGGAAGCTTTCGATCATGATATGTCTCTACCGGCTGGGGTATAGAGTTTAGAGTATTCTTGAAACTCTATACAAGAATCCATTGGCTAGGGATTCGAGCCACACACCAAATTTTGATTTGATGCCCTTCTGGAGCCTGACAGTGAAGACCAGGATGGCAGATGAGCCAGGAGACCCTCTACGAGTTTAAAGGGTTTGCCTACCTCCCCACAGCCGCTGGGCGCTAGCCTGCGCCGGGCGCCCCCAAAGATGCGCTCACTTGGTGGAGCGGCCAAAAACTCAAAGACTCAATGTATGTCATCTAGTTTCAGAGTAGATGGCACAATCCTCAAGATGTCAGATGGGGATTGTGCCACGGGTTCCATCTAAACTGTGAGTCGTTCTTCAGGTGCGTCACTACACAGCGGCCACACCACCTGCGAACCCGTGAAGAGTCGAGTGGGGGATGCCACCCCGTTCATATGGTTATACTGGCTGGTATAAATAGAACCGATCAACTAATAGAGATGTTGAACCATCCACGCTAACATGCGGTTGTTCTATTTGATATGTCTTACTTCCTGGACTTTTTGCCGTCTTCTGATATTGCCATAACCAGAGGTTGTTTGCGTAGATTGGTTTGCACTCAAAGTATTCCGGTGATGCCCCGGATTGATCGAGATTACAGCCTGCTTGTTCCGCAGGAACTCCCACGGCAAATCTATACAAGCATGACGATTCTGCAATCCTTGGGGAGTCAGTGCATAGCCTTTAACTTTTTGTTGCCAATTGATTTCCTCACCTTACCAGAACCGATGGACAGAAAATGCAACGGCTCGGTTTAGGTGTAAACGGTGTAAACCTGCTCACATGCTTTGGAGATTGTCCAGCCCTGGACACGTGAGCTGATCTCGCTAGCTGATCTCAGGATACCCCAGACCAGTGGGCGCAGTCACTCCTGGTGAAAGGCTCCAAAGAGAGGCGCCGGCGGGGTGGGTCGAGTCGCTGTGGCTTGAATTGATCACACCTGATTTTGTGTTCATTTGGTTTGAGAATAGTTTATCAGAATGTTTGTTCTGGTGGTGTGAACGTTCGTCATATTATCATATGAATCTTCCAGGAGTTTGGGAATGTGTGTCGTCAGTGTGGAGTCCAATCAAGAAGCCTCAAACGCTTGATCATGGGTAGAAATCCCAGCCTCCCTAGCCTCCCTTGCCCCAATTTCCTAGCCTCCCTAGCCCAGAGAAGCACAAACATCTTGACCTAAAAAGGTGTCCAAGTTTACACGAGGTGGATGAGCGGGGTGGCTGAGCTGGCAAAGCCATTCCATCCTTTCCCATGCACATCAGCCACTGGGAGAGGTGAGTGCGGCTACAAGCGTCTCCTATTGTACCCACCCTAAGAGGTTTAACCTTGGCAACTGACTTCTCCCACTGACAAGCCCTGCAGGGCAGATTGTTCGTGCCACCCAATGGACAGTCTGCCCCACCCAAATACCTTCACTGCGCCGTGCTTGGGCAGCGGACAGTCAGATCTGCTGAGAAGGTGAACGTGAGCGCGGTCGCGGTCAACACTGCTCCAGGGGGACCACACCGCATCAGCCATTAGTAGCCCGGACCTGGTCGTCAGGACCTGCACACAAGCGGGCGTACCCTTGTGGCACTGTACCTGCGCACGCAGCTGGGAAGGCGTTCTGGGCCTGTTAGACTGGCATGCCCGAGGTAACATCAACAGCAAGAGGCGATATATAGTTGCTCGGAGCAAGGAAACTTCAAGGAACAATGAAATTTTCCTCTATATATAGCACGTGGATACGTTTTTGGGCTATTGCCTCACTAAATTGCAGTGGTTTGGAGTGGGAAGAGTCGTTTGGTCGTTTTAAAGGTGGCTTCCAGAAGAAGGGCTGTGCTAGAACCCGCTCCAGGCTCCAGGCCTTTAAAGACACATGACCTCAAATCATCTCAAATCCCCTCTTTGATTTGCCAAGCCTGAGATGACAGGTTGTTCAAGGAGCAAACACCTTTTTTAATTCAGGGATTTCAACTTTCAACCTCTTGCAATTGGGTGAATGGGCAGATCAAGGAGCAAGTACTGCTGCAAATACTTGTGAGATCTTGTGAGTGAGTGAGTGAATCCCAAAAAATACTCCGCTGGACCTTGGCAGTGATACACCAAACAACATGCAACATTCCTCGTGTTGAGCCTGTGCCCTAAAGGTGATGCAAAACGATCGCTGACCATTGATGCCACAAATCTGGCTGGCTTCTCATGTGATGACAGCAGAAAGCACAGCTGCACCGCACAGCACGGCCGCCGTTGGAAAGTCCCGCTCGCCAGGTTGGTGTCCTTTAGCCCATCGTGGGCAAGAGGAGGCCGTTTGCCGTCGATCGGACTCGGAAGGTCGGGACGAAGTCGGGACGAAGCTAAGAGGGTTTGGGGTGTTGGAATAGCCCCCACCTGTTTGGATGTGTCTATTTCCTGGAGCTTCCAGAGGGTCGCCTGGAAATGTCTCCCTTTTTGGAGGACACACTCATTTGGTTGGGACGTTTGGGGCATGCTGGCAGTCGAGGTGAGCCAGGAAGAGCTCCTGGAACCATGAAGTTGCTGTTCCCCTTGATCTCCCTGCTCAGCCTGGTGAACCTGTTCATTAATTGCTACTATCCCATTCCTTGGACCCATCCTCTGGATTTGCTGGAGGAAGTACTCATTGAGGTCGCAACAGGCCCAATGGTTTGAGGTACGCTCACACATGTTCCCTTTGAACAGCTTGCTGCAAGGTGTCTTCCCCTACCTGCCAGTTGAGGGTTGTTAGATTGTATCAGAGCTGTCCCATTTCACGCCTTCTCCCTCTCCTCCTCCTCCTCCCTTTTCCTCCTTTGTCTCCGGGTCCTCAATCGCCAGTGCTAGATCGCAATGGGCACCACCGGACCTCAAACGCCAGTGCTGGATCTCAGTGGGCACCGCCAGACCTCAACCACGAGCACTAGATCACAGTGGGCGCACCGCCTGGCCTTAACCGCCTTAACCGCGAGCGCTGGATCTCAGTGGGCACCACCACACCTCAACCACGAGCGCTCGATCACAGTGGGCACCGCCAGACCTCAACCGCAAGCACTAGATCACAGTGGGCGCACCGCCTGGCCTTAACCGCAAGCGCTGGATCTCAGTGGGCACCGCCGGGCCTCAACCGCCAGCGCTCGATCACAGTGGGCACCGCCGGACTCCGGACCTATCTCTGGCCCCCATCTGGAACCCTTTATGACAGTCTTGATTCTTTCTGACATATTTTCTGGCACTCTATCTGGCATCGACTTTGGCATTCTATCTGGAATGATTTTTGACAGTTTATGACATTCTTTCTGGCATACATTCTGGGACTCTATCGGACTTTTTTAAATTGCATTCTGGCTCGCAGAAATTCCGGCATTCTCAGTGGATGATATTACTATATTACTGTTGTTATTACCTATAGTCTTTCTGGCATACATTCCGGTCTTATATTTGTTGTATTTTTTATTGGGCTGGGTATTTTTTGCTCTATAGTTTTTTTATGCGGAGATATGGACAGGGGTGCTTTCAGACCAAGGGTGCTCTTTTGTATGCTCTGGGCTCCTTTTCCGATGCTGCTGGTGTCTTCTCGTAGGCTCGTGGTGCTTTTTCTTATACTGAGAGTTCTTGCTTTTATGCGCATGGTTGCTTTCCTTATGCAGACGGTTCCTTTTTGTATGCTGGGAGGTGTCGGCCGCCGTCGAACAGAATCCTGCTGCAAGGGGACCCGTCAAACATGTTTGGCTATAGAGGCGTGCGTCAAACAGAATCAGACCGACAGTGCCTTTTTGTATGCTGCATCGGGCCAGGTGTGGACGGTGGCCGCCAAACAAGATCCTTCTGCAAGCTGGGCCGTTTAACCAGAATCCTTGGCTGTAGAGGCGTGCATCAGATGCCGACAGTTCTTTTTTGTATGCTGGAGGTCTCCGGGCAAAATCCTTCTGCAAGAGGGCCCGTCAAACAGAATCCTGGGCCAT